GTTGTCTGTAGATCCTTTCATGCGAAGGCTATGCTTTCAATCCCCTGAGTATTGTTGGCTTATAAAAAACCCTCAAAACTCAATCCTGAAGGAGAGCACAGAGAAGACATACATCTACAGAGTAGTGTACAAAGGTGTATGATTCACTTGTGCTGGCAGAGAAGTTACAGACTCCAGTCTCCTTTTCAAGGAGGACTTGCGTGTTTTACACTGATCTGGATCTAGAACAAAGCTATGCAGGGCTAAAATAGTGAGCAAAGTTGTGTTTAACCTGAGCCAGCCACCAAGCCCCATGCAGCCGCTCACTAATTCCTGCATTAATATGACTGGGGAAAGACTTAGAAAAGTGAGAAAAGTCATGGCAGTTTAATAGGGAAAGCAAAACCTGCACACAAAAGCAAAGAAAAATAGGAATTGATTCAGTGCTTCCTGTGGGCAGACAGGCATTCAGCCATCTTGGGAAGACAAATGCCGTGGCTCCAAATGCCATGGCTTCTTTCTCCTTCTTCCATTTTCCCCCACTTCATATACCAGCATGATATCCCTTTAGTCATTTTGGGTCATCTGTCCTGGCTGTATCTCCTCACAAGCACCCTGGTCCCCTCACCAGTGTGGCAGTACCAAAAGCAGAAAGGGCCTTGGCTCTTATCTGTTCAGCAATAACAAAAACATCTCCTTATTATTAACCGTGTGTTCAGCATAAATCCAAAACACAGATCAATACTAGCCACCGAAAAAATTAAAATCTACCTCAGCCAAATTAAAAATTAAAATCTTCCCCAGCCAAAACTTGGACAGTTTTCTTTTTGGTCCAGTCTTAAGTGTTTAAACAGTAGTACCTCTTCAACAGTAGTCACCATTATCCAGAGTGTTGCTAGGATGCAATCTGCAGGAGTCTGCTAATCTGAAATTCCTGAAGAACAAAATCTTGATCTGTTCCTCCCTCAGCTGAAGCCATACCTGCTATATTGTTACAGACAGAAGTTGTGCAGGAGTGATTACAACTTGAATTTTGAGAGCAGTACCTTAATTTTGTTGGTCTCGTGGACTTTTTCTGAAAATACTGTCACATCAGGTGGACTTCTGCATGGACTTTAAGTAGTCTTCTAGACAAAATATTTGTTTTCAGTGTCTGAAAAGCTGTAGTAATGTGAAAAAGCACTACCAGGACAAGGCATGAAGGATGGTACCTCCTGAGTGACTAGAAAAACTACTATTCAAAACAAAACATGCAGAAGAAGATGTAATGTAAATTTAACAAATCTGAAGTAACTATATGACTTCCTAATGTTTGTTTTCTAAAGAAGAAAAAACAACAGCAGAACAAAGAAACTAATTTCCATTCATGATCCGTAGGATGCTTCAAGGCAAGTACATCCAGTGTATTGGCTCAATGCGAGTACTTTTTATCTTTTAATTTCTTAAAAAAAGGTAAAGATAATTGCACTACTTCTCTCCTTGTACTAAATTATTAATCTGTTGAGCAATAGCAAAGTTTATAGAAGGTAAAGGAGGTTTCATGTAAACTGGGGGCTAAATAAAAAATATATCCTTTAACAATATCTCAGTAGCCTTGAATACCTTGAATTAAAGCCTTATTCCCGTGACTTACAAATGTCAGACAAAGAAAATCAGCAGTAAGACAAAAACTTACTGATTTCATTAGACATTTTCCAGAGACTCTATTTCAAATTCATGCAATTCACTGTTGCAAGGACAGCTTAGCTTTTGAAAGCTGTCCAAACATGAATTTACAGCATTTCTAAAGTTTGCTTAGTACCGTACAGGATTCTGCAACAAATGGGAAATACCACTTCATCAATGTTATTGATGAACAAGCATGAGCATTATCCAGTTGCCTTCAATAGAGGATTGTGCAGTTTAGAAAACAGTTCAATCTTAAGAAAGCTCATAATTGAAAAAGTTAAGAAATCCATGCATTTTTGCCTAATGAAGTCTAAGGCTGATTAAGAAAATTAATAGTAATGCAGAAACGATCTTGTTTTTATACATCCACATAAGTGCTTTCCCCTTCTTTTAAAAGCAGTGACATGGAGTCAGCAATAAAATAACTCCAAAGCACGTAGGAAGGAGCTGTGATTTTCAACTTTCCTTATTGTAAGGAAGGGGCCCAAACTGGACTCTCCAAAGCGACTTTGCTTGTTTCTCCTCAATGCTCATACGTACTATCACAACCAGATAAACAAGAGTGAGGTGGAGGCACTTGTGGCTTGCAGGTGGCATGTGCTTCCTGGGGTTCATACCTATAATTAGGACACAAACAGCTTAGTTTTGGCATCCTAATCATGACTGACTTCTCCATTTTCCAGAACAATCCTGCTCCAAATGATACTGATTCAGGATATATGGCTGTCAGACGTAATAACCAGAAAAACCCAACAGAATTAAGGTGGTAAAAGAGTAGTGCCTTCAGGCCAGAACAGGCTCCCCCTGGAATTGCTCTCCTTTTTTTCCCCAGTGATTCATGGAAATAAAGACGGTTGTTGTGATATATTAAAGTAAGTCTAACAGCTGAGGCCAGTTGAGCACAAATAACAGAAAGGAGCAGGATGTTTTAGGCACTTTATTTATTTCTGTAACAAATATGATGAATGTGGGCAACTTGTGCTGTAAACATGTATTTCCCCAAAGTAAACCTTGTCACTGCTAAGTCCCTGTTATCTTTCACGGTCCTCTGAAGGAAGTTATACCATTCAATTATTCTGTATCTGTCACTATGTCATAGATTTGACTGCGCACAGCACATGCAAGCATTTTGATTACTACGCTGGCAGTAGAATACCTAACTCTGCAACAAAGAACGAGCATCTTCAAAACAAAACCAGGAATTTTTCACAAAACAAAAGCAAGGCAAACAGTAAAAAATATGGACAATAAAGGTGAATAATCCTTAACTCCTTGATGATTTTTGGCACATTCTATATAGCCCATTTAAATCTAATTCTGGGTTACACCATCTTGCTTAGAGCCTTTTCCTTGATAAATTTGGTACATTTCACTGATACTGTGTAATATTGGATGAAACTTACTTCATTTCTGTCACATTTTAGTGTGGAATCTTGCAGTAGACTAACCTTATTGATCTAAGTTCAAACTTCAGGAGAAAAAAAATCAAATTTAGTTTGGATGGATTAATATATAGCTACCCTATTATCCCCTAAAACTGCTACCTGGACCATGATTTTGCTCCCTTTAACAGTGGCTTTTGATCAAACATCATAGTCAGGAATCTGTCACAAGCACACAGATATTAATTCTTAATTTAGAGTAGATACAATTAGGGTATTTCCTAATTTTCTAAGGTTTATAAGTAAAAACTGTTGTATGGCCTGTTAAAACTGTTCTTTTGTGAAAATGCCTTTCATAGGATTAACATGTGGGCTAAAAGGCACAGATGGAGACATAGAAATACCCAAAAAGGCTGGTTCAATTGTTTTTCTTTTTTGGAAAAAAAAGAGTAGCAATAGATGACAGATATCAAAACATACAAGTCCTCTTCAAAATTTAAGGAAGGCGGACTTCTGAACTTGGAGGAAACATAGCAAATGCTCTGTTATTCCAAGCAAATCAAGAAAGTGGAGTACTTGTGTTCATTTTCTTACACTGAACATTAAAACTCATCACATTTGAGATCAGTTACAGACTGTATGCATTGTTAGCATGCAGGGGACAGAACCAATTACAGAAGTGACTGAATGCAGAAGTTAATGCACTTTCAGAAGTCAAACCATGGAAACTGTGCTATTAATTTCTTCTGCATTGAGAAGCTTTTGTTTCATTATATATTTGCCTATATTATTGTGGTAATATTCTAAGTTTAGTTAAGTAGTCTTCAAAATCATATTTGGGGCATTATCTCCAGCGGGAATTTAATTTTTAAGTCAACAAATTGTCAGTATAGACTTTGACTTAATTCATTTTTGGATGCTTTTTGAGCATTTGTTTTTCATTCCACAATTAGATTAATGCTAGAAGAATTTCCATCCAAAACACAAAATAATCTGTTTCTAAATAAGCTTTCCAATACAGAAACAATTTTTCCAAGTGTGACATCAGAACATTAAAGTATACTAAAACTATATTCTCGGGATATACCATGTTAAAGGCATGCAAAAAAATCCTTCAGTTTTTCAGTACTTGTAAGGCCACTTGGATCTACTCATTACAAAAACATACATTAATAATTTTGCTTGCTGTTAGCCTAAGTTAATATTCATCTTAGTAGTGAAACTCTGATTTCAAGTATTAAAAAACAAATTATCCTGAGCTTCAGAATGTTGAACAAGCATGAAAAAGATTCAGGAAATAGCTACATAATTTGTTTCCTCTTCTTCAGAAGCTATCTCTGCTCATACTTTAACACAGTTTTCCCTAACAGTAAAACACACAGTTAGCAAGTTATGTGTTTACTTCTGAACCTACTTCTGATAAAAGCTGTTTATTCCAGAAGCAGAGATGGTGAGTTCACTGCCTGAAGATCAGCAAGTAAAAAGTATCTAATTTTTCAAAGAAATTGACTGCCTGCTCCTGACTTCAAATTGAGCTATGTATCCTGAAATGTATTTGAAAATGGTATATATTTATTTATATATTTATACAAACTTGTAACTACCAATTACCATATCTTTATTAGTTATACTGAGTTTGGTCAGTACCAGACTTTTTTACTACAGGTGAAAGTTATTTTCAGACTCTGAATAGACAGTGCAAATACAATATTTCATTATAAACAAGGAAAATATACTACAGAATAATGATTATTTTTAAGAGATACATATAATATGAAACCAATTGCTTTAGAAAGTATTAATTTTAAAAAAGACATTAATTTTTTATTTTATAAAAGCTCATAATCTTATCAAATTTTTAATGATTTAGTTATGTTAAAATGCAGTATTTTAATCACATTTCAGATGTGTAGCTTTAATACCTTCTTCCTATTTTTCTATGAAGAAATTGCTATGAGATATTCTGATATTCTACAAATCTTTAAATGTAAGAGGTCCTTTAGGCAATTCCAGCAAAGTGCTCTGTATGTCAAGTATGTTCTCTGCTTCACCTTAAAAAAAGAAAAAAAAAGGAAGGAAGTGTCGGAAGGAAGTGTTGGAAGGAAGGAAGGAAGGAAGGAAGGAAGGAAGGAAGGAAGGAAGGAAGGAAGGAAGGAAGGAAGGAAGGAAGGAAGGAAGGAAGGAAGGAAGGAAGGAAGGAGGGAAGGAAGGAGGGAAGGAAGTGGTGGAAGGAAGTGTCGGAAGGAAGTGTCGGAAGGAAGGAAGGAAGTGTCGGAAGGAAGGAAGGAAGGAAGGAAGGAAGGAAGGAAGGAAGGAAGGAAGGAAGGAAGGAAGGAAGGAAGGAAGGAATGAAAACTTAAGAAACTGATTTGTTTGGCCCTCATTCTTGTTTGGACCACATTAGCAAAATAGCAATTCATAGCTATGCATTTTATAAATAAGCTTATGTCAATATACCAGCAAAGTTGTCTCTAAGGAATTTTGGACTGGTGGGGTAATTAGGAATCTGAGAAGAAAGTGGATCAGACATGAAGGTGTACAAAAGCTTTAACAAGTAAACTTGTACACAGTGTCACAGATGTACCATATTTGGGCACAGTCTTTCTTTGTGCCTCAGGACTAGCCTAAAAGGTGGTCAGAATGTGGGCAGCACAGGACTTGAAGAAACATTGCTCAAAACCCACTGCTCACAAAAACTTTGCTAAGACAGTTACTTAAACATTAAACATAGCAGGGAAAAGTTGTAGAGTGCAGAATGCTCTGGGTAAGGCTGGAATGAAAACATCTAGGACAGAGAATCCAAAAAACAAAGATACAGACTGAACATCATACATATGTTGTGGTGGTCTGATTGTGATATAAGAAGAGATGAAGATTAGGCAAAGAATGCATTTGTTTTGGCTGATGCCATTTGGCACAATGCCAACAATCTTGTTTATCTATGCCTAAAGTCCCAGCTTTATGATCCTTATAGCAGTGGTTTGAGACTGTATTTATGTGTGATCAGCCTAACTGAATATTGCAATGCAGTCAGGATTATGGTTATTCTATAAAACAGGTCTCAGTGCTGACATCTCCCAGCTGTAATTTTTATAGTACTGCAGTGCCTGGGACCATCAGTAATATCCAACACTGGTTACCACTTGCACAACATCAGTCAGTTGCATATAGCATCTGATTATGAAATAGCAAGAGATCTTGGGGACAGGGATCTAGACAGACAAATCTCTATGCCTGTCCCTCACATGTACTAGAGGACATTGCCCCACTGACTGCTCAGGACACAGGGACTCATCTATCTGAAACTCAGAAAAGGCAGCCAGAGCTCCATTGCTGAGTAGAGATGTTCTGTGCAATTAGAGGCTGGCCATAAAATCCGTCCCCTCCTCTAGTAATTTGTGTGGAAAACACCAGTAATGTGTGCCTGGACTAGGAGGAAAAGCAGGTTGATTCTTGGTGTCCTCAGAGGTTTAGAAAAGATAGTTTGACAGCTGTTCTGTAAGCCTGACCCAAAAGATTAGGTCCTGATACACAGCCCTGGAAACTTAGGACCTTCCAACAGCACAAGCAGAACTCAAAACAGGTATTTACCTCTATGTCTTCAGTTTGGGTTTTACTTAGCCCAAGCTATAGAGCAGGAAAAATACCCTTCCAATATTTCAGTGGAAGAATACTAAAATAATGAGATAGTGTTTGGTCAAGTAGGCTAGAGACAGAAGAAAAAATAGCTGTAAGCAAGATCAGAAACAAGATGGCTAATGAAAGAGAAACAATGAAACCTTTCAGGGGTATAAAATGATGCCAAAGGATGAAAGGCAGCAGATGCAGATGTTATATGATCACCTTAGTTCAGATACAAGGTTCACCATGCAGCACAGAAGTAACTGCAGATTATCTTAGGAGAAGGAACTGGCTATGAGGTTGATGATAGGTGTACCCTGGAAGAAAGAGACCATTTAAAGAAAGAACAGTAAAGGGAATGGTGTATACATTTATATTACACCAGAGAGATTAAGCACGGCATGCACCAATAGAATAGATAGACAAGCAGAGAAATGGTTGCAAAGGTATGGGAGTGAACACGGGGATCAGTTGAGTATTGAGAATAAGCATTGTGGCTGCAGGTCAATTGTGTCATAAAACCTTCTCTTCAACTACGTAATTTTAATCATAAAATAAAATTGAACTCCTGAACCTGATTTCCAGACCAGATTCATCCGGGCTATTCCATTTCCTTTTAATCTGGTGCTGATATTGGTAATTAGTTTAATTTCCTTCTCTTACTTTCCTTTATCCTATCCTGTAAGTAGGATCTGTAGACCCAAATCTCTCACGTCTTTTTACAAAGCTAAATCAAATTAATCACTTTTCTTCCTCTTGCAAGGCAGCTTGTCATTCCCTAATAGTTTCAGCTCTTCAGTAAAATTACAGATTCCCTTTCCAGAAGTGATCTGAATTACATATAAATTTCCACAGGAGTTATTTTCCTGCACCTTCCCATCTGTACTCTGTACTAAGGTTGTGAAATATGCATCCCTGGATATATTCAAAAGCCTTTTGTACATTTTCCTGGGCAATTGGCTATGGATGATCCTGTCTGAGCAGGGGGCTTGGACCAGGTAACCTTCAGAGATTCCTTCCAATTCAACCATGCTGTGATACTAGGAAACCTCACTTGATGTTTCTAGACTTTGCTTAGCTCAATTTCATCACATTATCTGGATTATATTCATTCTGCTTATCATCAGCATTCAAGTCTTCCCTTTTTTTACCATTTCCAGCTGATGAGCTCGGGTGGTAGAAATCCCTATTAATCCCCAGTTTCTTGCTGACATTAGCAAATTGAATCCTATTTTGTTGTCTCATTTCTTCAGAACATCAATTCTTCTTGCACTACAGCTTATTTCTTCTCTGTTGATGAACTTAATCAAGTTTGTCACCCAAAGATTTGATTAGGATAAGCTACTCGTAATTTAACATATAAAGCAAATGAAGATACAGACCAAATCTTGAGAAATATTGTTAATAACCCTGCTGAAGCCTAACCTTCCTTTTCAAGCTCAAGATTTGACATAATTTATTTACTCCCATGCTTACCTCTCTACTAATTTCCATGTCTTTCATGCTAACTTAATCTTTAGGTAATACCCCATCAAATGCTTTCATGAGTTTATAATGGATCTACCACATTTCTTTTAGAAAAAAAAAAATCTGGAAAAGACAAAGTTAGTTTGGCATATTCCATTTTATTTTTTATTTGGTTCCACAGTTTCTTTTCTGCAAAACATTTTCACAAGCCTTGCATGCTGCTGAAGTTCTCCTAATGGATCTGAAGTGATGAAGATGACTTTTCATATTTGGAAAGCAATAGGATACCACATTGCTCCTCTTCAACCTGTGGACCACACGATACACAGTAAACACATTACATATAAATTCTAAATTCCAAGTGCTAATTCTGCTCTGTGTGTACTAATCTCCTTTTCAACACTTTTATTTCTAAGAACTACCCCTTCTTCCCTGTGCTTAGCTGACTCTTCATAATAAAATCCAGAGAAGTTTGTTTAATGCTGTTGGGGAAATGGTCGCAGGTATACAATCCTGCATGACCAAAATGTATTTGCACCTGCATGCAGCAGGAACTACAGCAGATTTTGTCTAATTAACCTACCACTATTTCCCCTGAAGCATGCGGAGTTAGGAAACCCAAGTGTTAGATCTGGAGGCTAAAGACTAAGTGCTGAAACAGGTTTTTATTTTGTTTCAATGCAGTTGTGCCAGTAGCAGACAAGACAATTAGTTAGATTTAGTTAACTAAGTCAGTTTGTAAAGAAAAAAGCATGATCTGATGCTGTTTTCACTTACAGTCTACACTCACTGAGCCAGTCTCCTTCACTAGGAATCAGAATTAACATAAATGCATCTCCATAAACTTCAACACAATGTATATAATTTAATCATATAGACAAGAGACAACTATGAGGCAAGACCCCACTTTCCAGGACTCACCTTTCTTCAGTCTTAGCAGGACACTGCAGTAAGATCATCACCTGATGGCTGTGTTTGGTCATGAAGGTGTAAGGCCATGATTCATGTCTCTGTTCCTTTATATTGTAATCCCTAACCCTTTCCCCAAAAAAACAGCAAGAGAGTGGAATACAGAAGTAAATCACTACATCTGTCACTTCTCCCAGATATCCAATTCTTACATCAGCTGTATTTGAAACAAGATAAAATAACAGTCTTAACTGAAAAGAAATGACTACTGTTGACTAGCAAAATATCTGATTTCAACAGCAGGAAAAGAAATGAGACATAATATTTCTGTCAAAGAAACCATCAAATATCTATTACAAGATTTCTCCCAGCCATTTAAAAAAAACATAACAGGTTATCTGAAGCTTGGTTCTCTGTGAGAACAGGACAGACTTACATACCTTTAATCCTTTGCAATAGTGTCCCATAGCCCACATCATAATGATAGGAAAATACAAAGCATAAGGGAAGTATTGGCAGTAAAACTGCTGGGTTCTTCCTTTTTATTGCTCTGTGCAAGAAAAAATTATTTAGTATATTCAGCACATCAGCACTGTTACTCTAGGCTGACCTTGACTGTCTAGGACTTGTGTATCCTTCTAAAAATCTCTAATCAAAGAGCAAGTTTTTATTTCCTCAGAAACATTTGTCTTCTGATTGCCTTCTTTCTCAACCCAAGAGTATTTTAAAAATACAGTACTGATTTTTGAAAATATTAACAAATATGGGTTGATCTAACTCGTTTAGCATGCATGTGCAGTGCCATATAGCCAGCCACTTGCAACACATAACAATATAGATTCTATGTTCATTTCCAAATGCTACAGAGAACCCATAATGCATAAGGTGCATTTAATCTTCACTATATACACAAAACCACAAATATTTCCTAATTCCCTCTAAACATTTTACAGCCCAAGAAAACATTATCAACCATAAGTACTGTAGGGCAAGTTCTTCCATATTCAATATAGCTTTATTAGCCAGGTTTCTTTTTCCCTTGGGTCAGTTGATTCAAATTTAAGTGAGCAGACTTCAGAATATGTCCACTTGTTCCCTGCATCAAAAAAAAATCCAGATGGAGAATGTGCTACTCACTAACAATTCATTGAATCTCAATACAGACAATAAAATAGCGTGGCTTTTAAATACTCTCCCCTCTTCCACACACAGCTGTTATTTTGTAGTGGACTTTTTGTACTTCAGATATTTTATTGTCATTTTATTGTCAGCTCATGTCTCCACTTTTAAATAAATCTGCAGTACACACATAACCAGAACACACTCAAAGCAGTGTCCATTTGTCATTTGATCAATCTCTGAGCAACTACTGGATAAAAATAATATCTGGATAAAAACTGGATAAAACCTGTAATGCAAAACCAAGACCCAGCAAAATAAAAATATATAATGTAATATACTTACATTTTCTGTTAGGGAATAAACTTCATATCCAGTTATTAAAACTACAGTAGTAAGTGTCCAAAAAATGTCCTGAAATATTTGAGAAATTCTCACATCCAAGAAATCAGCATGGCTATTTGCCTGTATCTCATCAGGTTCTGCAGTGCTAGTTGCCTTTCCAGCTAAAGAAGGGAGACAAGTTAAACAAATCTAAGTCATACATTTATTTTAAAGATTGACTCAATCTCTCAGTGGTCTATAAATCCAAAACACTAACGAAGAAGGCAGTCTTTCATGGGTTTTGATTGAGAATGGCCTTCTTCAGTAATAGTTTCTACCCAAAAACCATTTAGGTCAATTAGCAAATGCTTTTATGCAGAATCTTTCAAATTGTGCTTCTCAAGGTCCAGACAAGCAAAATTGCAGTGTTAGGTTTTGAGTGGGACCCAAGTCTCAGCAGTACTCTCTAGATTAAGATTCTGTGACCTTTGCATTTCCATGCTGATTCATAGCATACCTGCTTTCCCAATTCATTCTGCTTAATTCTAATTTAGTTGCAATAATTTTAGAGTCAATCTTGGCAGCTCTTTGCCCTTTCAGGATTTCTTCTTCCTCATGATGCATCGTAAAGCTCATAACTCTTCTGCAACACCACAGTTACAAATATAGAAAAGCACTGTGAAGACAACAGATTTTTAATAGATAATAAATATATATCAAAAGTCCATAAGGAAATACTTCTATAACTAAAATTTAAAACTGTTCAAAAGTACAATATAGTCAATATATTCACATGTCCAAGAAGAATTTTCTATGGTACAGAAGAATAAAAAAGCAGACTATTAGATTTATTTTTTTTAGTTACATGCCCCATCTAAATCTACTGTTACATTTTCATTTAAATAAGGTAAATTCAGTATTTCTCAGAAGTTCCTGTCAACTATACAGAACAAAAAAAGAATTTCCTTTTTAGAGTGATGAAAAAATAATAATTGTGCCAAAAATAAGCAGTGTGAAACCAAAGTGGAGAAGTTAGTTAACAGAACAAGAAGAAGTCTTCACAGCAATGTTTATAATCCATCTTGTGGGGAAAAAATTGAATACCTGGGTTTGTATGTCTAGGCTAGCTAACCAAGTTGGATGAGAAGTTCAACAAGGTACAGGAAACAGAATACCAGCTGCCTAAATGAGTGTATTCTAGGGAAGAAAGAACAAAGACTGAATTCAGAAAGTTCTCTTCTAATGAATCTCTAAAAGTAATTAAATATGTTCTTTGCTCCTGCTTTCTAATTCAGGAATAATTTAAAGGATTTGTAATTACTTAAGGTTTCCACCCTTTTATTCATCTCCATTACTATTGATTTAGCCTGAACAGAACAATTTCTGTTAAATTGTTACTAATTATTTCTTCAGACTATGTTGATCTTGCTGTCTTATTTACAAGTTCATTCAGTATCTAGATAGGTAGAAATAATTTTGAGACAGCATAATGAAAAAAGGACAGATCTAATTACATATAATTGTACACAGTAGGAAAAACAACATTCACTATAGTATCACAGTACTATTTCATCTGTTTCTCTTTCCTCAAGACTTACATTGCAATTGTTGTTCTCACAAAAAATATCAACAGGCTTTACCTTTCTGATAGCCATAATTTTCAGATAGCTTTGTTTTGGTTTTCTTTTTTTTCAGAAGAAGTAATTATATAATGGCTGACCAACCACTTAATAAAATATCAAAATAATTAGATTTTATTTTGTCACCTACAAGGCAGTTGGAAATTCTAAAATAAACAAGTACGCTGCCCATTAATTAGACCCATTTTGGTCCCAAATATCCTAAGCCTGGTAAATTGCTGAGGGCTGACATGATAAGATAAAATAATGACATGTAATATCCATTTAATGACTTTATTTTCATCTTCAGTGTGATTATAGGTGTAGTTTCCACATATGTGAAAAATATTAAGGGACCCTTTGTTTGCCTGTCAGCACAGATAAGGACCTGTGCTTCCAAGATGCATAGTATTACCCTAAATGAGCTTCAATTTGAAGAAGCACATGGTAAGGAAGTGGGACAAGGATATGCTGATGAAATACAGGTCTTGCTAAAAGGGAACAATGGAGAAGAAGAAAAACAGACAGTTTAACATGCACAGTGTTTAGAAAGAAGTAAGTATGGGATAAAAAGAAGGCTGTAAGTTCAAACTTAGAAAAGTAAAGTAAAGGATCCTAACATGATTTCTTTAAAAACAAATACACACACACACACACACTAAACCCCCAAAAACCCCAACAAAAAAACCCCTCATACTTGTTATACTCTGACAGCTCTTGTGCTGAAAGAAAAAGATAAGTCACAAACAATAAAGTCAAACAAACATCATGCTGCAGGAGACTGTCATATCAAATTCCAGAAGTCCAAGGGTACTTCCATGTATATCTACAAGTAGTTCATATAAATAACTTATGATAATTGAAAACAACTTGTTTTCTATATTATAGACAGCAGCCAGATAACATTATCAAACATTTTTCATATTCTTTTCTAACTAGATCTTTTTTCTTTCACTTGAGTGAAATAACCCTCAACTTTCTCCATCCAAAAACAAATGGTGGAATGAAATGCATAGAAAAATGCCTATAATTTCTTTTCTTTGAGCAAACTTGTTCTATGTAGATGTAAAATTTAAAGCAGATGAAACACAATACTGTATTTAAATTAATTTCTTAAAAAAAATATATATATTGAAGGGAAGTTTTGGAATTACAAATCTTAGAAATGAACATTCTCTTTGTACATGATGAAATGTGACAGCCAAGAAACAATTATTTCAGAGGAATACTAATCCAGAAAAGGCAGTAAAAAGCAGGTACAGTGACATTTGGCTAAAATAATAATTTAAATCTTGCTATTACTGAAGGTTTATGTTTTTACAATGAATAGTTTACAAGATAGCACAGTGTAGCCCCAAGAAGGCCCTGAGATGAGTTTGGGGATCCTAAGTAAGATATAGTACTGATGCTGAGATTTGTAAACCAATTTTTATTTAGTCACAATTTATACAGAGAAAGCTTAGTAACAATACTTCAATACATGCTCCAAAACCCCTTTGAAAATTCAAATACATGCTCCAAGACCCCTCCAAAACCTATGTGGTTTTATGCCAAACCCAGGATTATGTCTCTCAAATGCCAGAAGTTCCCTTTGTTCTGTACTCCGTTATTTCAACAAAAATCTTCATTCACGCTTTCTGTTTTCAAGATCAGTTTTGTTACTTTGTCATAGTTTCATCTTGCAAAACAAAAGACTACAGTGCTGTAGTTGTTAGGATTACAACAGGAATCTGAGTAATTAAGAGATTTAGTCTAAGTGCTCTAAGTGTTCCAGGGTAATTCCACACTGACTCCACTGGATTTCAAACTCTCCTTAAGGAGAAGGAAAAACTGAGCAACAATTATGGCCAAAGTAGTCTTACTAAATACTGTTTCATCACATGACTTAAACTTAGCAGAATAACTGTAGAAAAACCAGTTTGGAGTACACCTGAGCTCTTTTCAGGGAGCTCTGTAGCTACTGTGCAGCATAGCAGGGAACACCTCTCTGGCATATTCTGACAAAGCAGACAAAAGGCAGGGCACCTGCCTATCCTGTGCAATCAAATACTGCTTTAGCATTTCCGGACCTGACATCTGATCAGTTAAATAGGTTTAAAATCAATTCTTGACTGTAAAAGCATATATACCTTTCAATAAATTTTGGATGCTCTAAGTATCAAAATGAAACACCTACATGTGCACTCAGGCAACTCCTCTAAACTACTCTTTTAAAAATTAAAACAATTCCTGTGCAATATCCTTATGCCTATCCATTTAACATGCCGATATTAAATGAATATCTGGAGCTTGAGTAGTTTTGAATGACCAAGATATCCTGATGTGCTGGTTTTAAACTGGTGAATAACTAGATGGTGGTAGACCTTAAGGCAAAAAAACAGTGCCTTAAGCAACTGCCTTAAGACCTTAAGGCAGTGAGGATTTGAAAACATATGTATATAGGAAAATAATCAGAAGTCTACCACAAAAAAATTACTTGAAATTAGATGAAAGAAAACCAAACCATGTTTGACTGCAGTTCAAATCAATATTCCATTTTCAGCTGTTTATTTCCTAGTAATTGTGTCTTATTTTCCTCCACATGTGTTCTGTTGAAAATGTCAGTCACACTGGGATAGTGAAAGACTTTTGATCTATTAACATGCAGATTTTAGGAAAAAATGTCCTACTATCTTAGGACTTACTTTACAACAATTTTTAAGATTACTTATTTCTCATTATGACAGAACAGAAGTAAGAATTAAGAATAGTAGGTATTGATTTTTACTGCAAAACATTTTATAGAATTTCATAGGTAACAAGACAAAAAAAAAGTATGTCATTCAGACTTAGCAGAGGTGGGCTGTATTTTATTTAGAAAAGTCTTACTGATGGGAGAAGCTGATTATTGAGAAAACAAGCCACAGGTGCACATCACACTTATCAGGTGAACAACCATCCAAGTGCCATTGTCTTAGGGAACAAATTCTCCTTCATTTTAAGTACACAAATGGCCCATCTACATAGCCATAAAAACTTCCATAGGAATGATTTACATGACTAAATTTGTACTAAAAACAACAGATAAAGGATCTGAAGTGTAGCTTTAGAACAGGAGGAAGAGAGATACTGTAATTTTCCTAGTCAGGTTGTTGTGCATAGCACAAGAGACCTGAAGCTGTAGTGTGGATACATGGGTGCACATCCCAGCATGCTTTTCAATTACTTGTATCCTGTAACAATCAGACCGTGATTTTATAGACACAGTTAATAAAATAATAAAAAAGTGGCAATAGCAACTTCTATATTGGCAAAAATATTGATTGCATAATTTTAAAAATTAAGTATAGTATTTCAAAATAAATGGGTACCAGTAGCAAGTGACATTTTAAATTTTATAACACTCTCAAGAGGGCCCAATTAGAAATAACTTTCCCATTTTTTCTTTAAATACAGCTAGTAGTTTCTCAACACTGTGTGAGCAACTGTAAGGGGTGATTGGGATTTTGAAGTCTGTCACACAGAAACTGTTAGAGTAAAAGGAAATCAATGTTACAAAATGAATCATGACAGATGAAGAGAAG